GCAAATGTGTTTCTAAGCACGGCCGTCAATTTTAAAAGTGTGTGGCAATGTGTTTAACAAACAATTCTACTGTTAAAGTTCAAATTCAGGGTGCTCGTTCTCAGGGAAGGGCCTCTCTATCTGTCAGTTCTGGAGAAAGGGCCCTGTTTTTCTGCATCTTTAAGCCTGTGTTCCTGGGCAATCTCTGTGCACCTTGGCCTTCCCAGGGACAATGAGCTTCCTCCAACAGTGACAAATCCAGAAGGAGGTGCTCCCTTCCTGGCATATCTTTCTTGGTGGTGCTGAGGTCCCCATCTCAGCATGCTTTCCTCCTCTTTCATCTCTATGGAGATAAAAGGGGTTACAGGCCACACCCTAGGGACAGTCCCCTTACATCTAACAGGGCTGTGGTGGGTGTACATGCCACCCTTAATCTTTTTACAACTACATCGTTTTCACATTATTTCATGACTTGGACATGTTGCAAGGAGAGACCAGTCCTTGGAGAGGGATGTCATGGTTGGGAGGGTGGAGGGACAGTGCAAGAGAGGAAGACCCTCAATGAGATGGATTGATTCAGTAACTGGGGTAATGGAGGTAGGTGTGTCAGAGACAATGGGATTGGTACAGGATAGAGCAAGGTTTGGGGCTGTTGTAACATAGGGTTGCTATGAGTCGCAGGCGACTCAATGGCACATAACAAGAAGTATATTTTGGGGAGACACAGGTCAGCTCATGACAGCCATGGCTTGGCCTTCTGTCATAAGCATGCCAGGTGCAGTTGAGCTAGGGGACTCTCTCCTGAAGTCCTTCCTATATAGGTCCTGTCCTCCTAACTCTGGGCATGTCACTAGCCTGTCACTTCCTGCCACAGTGAGCAGGCTCTATGAATGTGGCCCAGCTGGATCTACGAGCTGAGCAGACAGAAGGTCTAGCAGGGAGCCAGTTTCCACTTCAGCCTTACACCAAGACACCAGGCTCCAGGCCAGAGAGGGGATTGATTGATGAGCCATGAAGTTTCCACCTATAAATCCAGGTGTATCTAGCATTAATCTGTCTTTTGGCCCTATGCCTACCCCAGACACCTGCTGGGTAGAGAGCATCAAGGGGGAGAACTCTGAGAGGGTAAACCAGAGACTGCAAACAAATGCAATGGGACATGGACACCAAATGCAGGGTCGAGGCTGAACACGGTCTCGAGGCACTTGGCCAGATTTAACCCCATCAGGTTAGAGTTAGGTCAGTCCTGGATGGTGCAAAGGGTTAACATGCTTAGCTGCTAGCAGAATGGTTGGAGGTTTGAGACCACCTCAGGACAAAAGGCCTTCGGATCTATGTCCTAAAAACCTTTTCCATGGAGGACAGTTGTCCTCCGGCACACATGGGGTCACCACGAGGCCAGTGTGACTCACAGCAACAGGCAGTGAACTAGGATGTTTCACTTTGAAATTATGGAAATCAAACTCCAACGGCCCCATGTGACGAAACCATAGGAAATTGGATGACCTGGGCCAGGATGACACTGGCCTGTGGGTGCCCCCAGCCCCCAGCCTCTCCCTCTGCCGCTTGGCCCCTGACAGCACGAGGCCTGCCAGGTGAGAATGTCCACCTGGCGGCTGTGACCAGGTGAGGACGCCTCTTCTCTTTTGTAAATTGCTTGATGCTGAAGATGCTCTGTTTGGTTAAAATTGATGGATGAGCTGCAAAGGCTTCCTAAAGAAGGACAAGATGCCACAGGGCATTTACTTTACTCTTCTCAGATAGGTTTTCGTTTACTTTTATCTCCAGTCTTTTGGATGACATATACCTATTCCTTTCTCTTCCTCTTCCTCCCCCCCACTTGCTCTATCTATCTATGTATCTCTGTCTATCTATCTATCTTATCTATCTATACATATATATGTATGTATGTATGTATATATATGTGTGTGTGTGTGTGTGTGTGTGTGTATATATATATATATATTACTATTAATGGATGAAGTAGGAGAGTTCACTACCTTCTTCTCACACAGACAAACAATTTAGCAAATATTGAACTCTGTATCTAAGCCACCCATTCAATCATGGCGACCAGGGCAAGGTAAGGTTTTCACTTCCGGCCCCTCTCCCCAACCCCTTACAAGTTGTCCATTCATGAAAATGGTTGGGGGTGTTCTCTCTTCTCTGTGAGGTGGGAATGGGTTAGACTATGAACATTATTACTCTGTCCCACACTCCTTTTTCTTCTGGAAAATTCCTTCCTCATTTTTCACAAGTTGGTGGACAGATGGCACTCCCAGGCCACAGGAAGAGGCATGTAACCCATTTCCCATTCGGGCCAATCAGAGTCTTGCCTGATTCATTAATATTGAGAGAAAAACGGTGCCTCTCTCTGCTGAGCCTGCTAAAAGGGCTATTCCAGAGGTGAGATTATATCAGTCAGAGCCTATGTTTGGCTATAAGCTACAGAAACTTGGGGAGAAATCAGCTTAAGTAATTATCAGTCTTCTTACATAGTATATGGAGCTCTGATGGCCTAGTGGGAAGAAGTTATGCTGCAATCCCAAAGGCACACAGTTCGAGGCCACCAGTTGCTCTGTGGGAGAAAGATGGGCAGTCTCCTCCTGTGCGATTAACCTGCCTCTGAAAACTCACTAGAAGGTCAGCTATGGGTCAATTCCGACTCTATGGTACACAATAACATCAACTTATATAACCGAGAGCCCAGAGGACACTGCGTCATGTGGCACCTTTCAGTGTTCCCCATAGTGAAGCAAAGAGGTGGGAGGCTTCCAGGCATGAATGTTCCCATTCAAAGCGCATTCCCAGAAACCTCATCTTTGGCTAGGATTGTGTTACACGGTTACCCCTAACAGCAAAGGAAGCTGCAAGCTGTTTTGTTTTGATCCGAGATTTAACAGAGAAGGAAAGGGTAAAAGCTTTAGACATGTAATGAAGGGAGTCCCCAGGCGGGGCCAACAGTAGTCAGTAGCATGTTGCACATCTACCTAAAAGGCCGAGAGTCTCCAGCAGTTCAAATCCAACAACTGTGCTGAAAGAGAAAGATGGGCAGCTTCCTCCTGTTAAGCTTTACAGCTTCAGAAGCCTGCTGGAGGGCCACTCTGAGCTGGAATCAGTTTGATGGCAGAGAGTGACTGAGTGGCCAAGGGGTGGCTAGTCCAGCCCAGGTAACCAGGCAACCTAACCCCAAAATGTCACAGCCTTGAAAACCCAATGGGGGAGTTCAACTCTGCACACATGGGGTCCCCAGGTCCCCATGAATCAGAATCAACACAATGGGAAGCAATAAGAATCCCTGCCACTAAGACCAGGGAATTGGGGATGATTCTGTTCAGCAACCCCAACTTCAGGGAAGAAGCTGGAGCTGGCAGAGGCTTTGAAGCCATCTGAGGTCACCCGTGGCTGACTGGACACATCTCAAGAGAGAGCAAGGTCAGTTTCTGTGCACAAGATTTATTGAGCTGGGTAAGCTGTTCCTGGGGTTGGCATAGGGAAGGTACCATGTGGCCAGCAGTGCAGTGTGGGGGATCTGGGGGAGCGTCTCTAGTGAAGCCTCAGATACAAGCGTCTTCCTGTACCTTCTCCATCTCTCCCCTGATTGTTCCAAGGTTGGTGGAGAAAAAGCCCTACAAGGAAACAATCTACAAAAGGGAAGCAAAAGCTTTGCAGTAGTGCCTCCCATTAAGGGGACAGGGGATAGGCCCCAGCTCAGGGGACAGACCCACACCTGCAAAAGCCAGCACTGGGGTGTGGAGCATTGCCAGTCCTGTTTCCTGAGGCCCCAGGAAGGGTTGGGAAGGTTGGTCCTCTTGTCTGCAGTGGTCAGAGTAGAGCCCAGAGCGCAAAGGCGGATAGAACGTGGAGCAGGGCATTCTTCTCCAGATGCCCACGTGCAGAGGACGCCTGAGAGTAGGAGAGCAGCTGTGGGCAGGCAGTGAGAAGCCCAGCTCCACCCTCAGCTGCACCCCCAGCCCCAGCACAGAGGGAAGCAGTGTGGAGCCCTCGGTTCGAGTCTACACCCCACACCTACCTGCAGGAGGCTGTGCAGCTGGTCCTGATGGGAGTCCTGCAGGGCTGGGGGCCACCAGCTCTCAAAGGCCCCAATGGCTCTGTCTGCGGAAAAAGGAGTCCAAGTCAGCTAGACCTGGACTTTTAGATAGACAAGTCGGGGCCCCACTTCTCAGGGAAAAACTGAGAACTGCTGCCGCTTCCCTGCCCCGCCCCCGCCCCCATTTGCTCTGTTTAATTCCAGGTCCTTAGAATGAGGTTGGTTGGGTTTTTAAATATATATGAAGGAATATGCAAGCACAATGCACATGAATGAAACACAATGTATATGGATTTTGTATATAAACCAATACAAAATATAAAAAAATAAGAGAGATTGACACACCGAGTGTAGCAACGGGCTTGAGTAAATCGCGGATGACACAACATAAGGGCAAGGTTCAGGTTCGTTGTTTTTGGGTGGCTCAGTCTAGTTGACTTGATGGCATGTAGATTTACATCTTTCGGTAGAGACCAAGCGGCAAATTGTGACTTAACGCGGACTCGGTGGGCCTTCATTGGGTGACCATGTCTATAATGGTCATTTCCAACATCGCTATCATAGTAATAACAGACTTTCCTCTTGGTTCCCAGAGTCTGTGCCATCTTGCTCGCTCCGGTGCCTCCAGTCTGTCTGTCTGACCTCCTGCCCGTGGCTTACAGTGTTTTCACAGTTCCTGCCATTTGACTCTCCTCACTCCTCGCTTGCAGGGTCACCAGACTCAGCACCCCTAGGATTCTACTTAATCTCTGGAGCATGGCTAAGAGCGCACTACTCAAGGGGCAGGGCGACAACAGGAGGGCTCCTGCGCCTTCGCCACCAGGAGCCTCCAGACGACCCAACTCCTGCGCCTCGCCCCTGGGCCCCTCACCTAAGCAGCGATTCCGCGTGAAGAGCCCCTGGAAGGCTTCGCACTCTTCCAGCCGGTTCCCGCTGGCTCTGCAGTCGCACCACGGTGCCACACGAGCGCTCACGTTGTCCACGTAGTTGGGGGTGATGGCCGTGCCTGCGGGGACCGAGAAGCGCAGTCATCGGCCCACCTGGCTGAGGATGCTTCTTTTCCTTTGCTCCACCCATGCCCGGTTCCCATCTTCGTACCCACAAGGCCAGCGTAGGCGCGCCGGCAGCGGGGGGCCTGCTCTCGAGGGCAGCCGTCGGGGGCGACAGGGACCGGGGTGCAGGCTGCCCGGAAGGTCCGGAGGCGGGGCCTGCGATTGGGGCGGGGCCGTGAACTGGAGCATGACCATGCCCCCAATAAACCACGCCCACCCACCGGCCCTCCCCGCCCCGGACACGTACAGCTGCAGTCCCGCCCGCCCACCTGCAGGTGGGGTTGTGCTCGCAGGTTTCCAGGCCCGCCAGGCAGGAGGGCGGTGCTCGGCTCGTGTCCTCGAAGGCGCAGCCTGGCACGAAGGTCTGGCGGCGGCGCTCTCCGCACGTGGGCTCCGCGCATGGGCAGAAGAGCAGCGCGAGCGTGAGCGCGGGCGGCCCGCGGGCGAAGAAGCGGCGCAGGGCGCGGCGGCAGCGGGTTCGCGGACAGCGCCCCGGTGCGGCCCGACCCAGGCACTGCACCACGTAGGCGGTGCGCAGCCGTCGGCACAGCGGGTCTGCCGAGCACGCCTCGGCTGCGGCCACGCAGCGGTTCTCTGCAGCCGGGCTCGCCGACCCTGGTGGGAAAAAGGACCGTCTGCAGTTCTGGGGGCGCCCGGCGTGCACACTTCACCGCCCTTCCTGGGCCCGAGCGCGGCCGGCTGGCGCCCCCGTCGCAGGCTAGATGGCGACGTGCATAGTTCCTGCAGCATAAGAAGAATGCCTGTGGCGCACTGAGGGTGGACCTGGCCTCCCCCAGAACCTGAAGCTCCATCCTCCCTGAGCAGCACCCCCAAACTGCCACACTGATGATCCTAGGGGATTCCCTCGGGTAATCTCCCACCCTCTCGGGTTTTTCCTGCCTATAAAACAGAGCCTTTTGGGAACGTGGCTAAATGACATTTCAGAAATGACACTTCTCACACTCCTCTTCATCATTTATACAACCTGCGGCACGTGAGCCTCCCTCTTCTAAGCCCTCCCAGATTTTTTTAGTAGGTCTATAGGATGACGAGGCTCTGTGGCATAGTGGGTAAGGAGCTGCCAGTCTAAATGCACCAGCTGTTTGAATCCACCAGCAGCTCTGTGAGTGAAATATGGGCTATCCCTTCCTTTGTGATTTACAGCCTCCGAAAACTCGCTGGAAAGTCAATTATGAGTTTGAGTGTTAATAAGTCTCTTTGAATGACTGCAATTAATTTCAGTTTTAATATGTTGCCGCATCTCCCTCCTCCCTTATCTTTCGTGCCCTCTCCTGTATTCCTCCTCCAAAGTCCCTGACTAGAAGTGGGTACACGCCTTTCCTGCGCCATCTCACCCTGCTGGACTCCACCCTCCACTAGCCCAGGTAAAAACTCAGGAATTCTCTGCCAGGGCTCTGGTCACTGCAGAGACAGCATGGGTCCAAGGGAGTCCCTGCTGTCAGGTCACAGGACCCTGTCCTGTACATCAGGATGGGAGGATTCATCAGGGGTTCAAGTCCCCTGTGGTCAGTGGCAATTCAGTAGGGCTACACTAAGTCACAGGTCAAAGGTTTAGTGGGACTGAGGGTGAGCTCTATCCACAGAGGATGTGACCAGGCCTGGCCTAGTGTGTAGGGAGCTGCATATAAACTCAAACGTCCCACCTCTCTGGTGGTTCAAATCCATCAGGGTCTCTGAAGAAGGGTGAATGCAGTTTACAACCACCTACCGTAGAAACCCACTGAATAGTCAGCTCTGAGTCAGTTCTAACTGGGTGGAAATGAATTAAGGTCAGCTAAGCCAGCATCTGGGGAGACTGGGACTTAACCATCCCTCCCTAGGACCTGGGTCACTAAACCCAGGAAGGACACTCCTGCCCTCACTCCTGAGAGCACCACCCTCAGACGGTAAGTCTGAGCAAAGGTGCCCAGCCTGCTGTCCACACTCGTTCATATGTGTGTGTTTTGAGGTGAGGGTGCCTCCTGCAACAAGACCGGGGTAGTTGATTTCTCTCCAGCAGAGCCCACGTCTTGCCAGGACTACGGGTTGGGATGTGGGGGTCATAGAGGCTGTAGCTTCTCCATTTTTCCGGAGGGTGGACAGACACTGAGAGTTTGAAAAGGGTCCTGGGTGGAGGAAATAGACTGGAGAGAGTAACCTGTACCCTTGGGGCACAGAGCACCAGGTTTTCTTTGTGCTCTCTGCTCCTTGGTTCACCTGTCTTTTTCCACCAGGAGCACCTTTGCCTGGTCTCCATCTTCAAAGCCACGCTTCTCAGTCTGAAGAGGCTTAACCTTTGCCAGATTCCATCCTAAGCGCCCCATCTAAGAGAGGTGGTGTTCCTTCCCACCAGATGCCGAGATGAGAAAGGCGAAGAGTCTGGGATGGTTGCAGATTGCAGTTAGTGGGCTGGGACAGGACAAGGAAGTGGAGGCTTCAGAGAAAAGAATGTTTTTGGTACAGATATGAGGACTTGAGAATGGGGGTGCTTGCTGTGGGGTCCAAAGGCAGAGACAAGTATGTCCTCTATAGCAGCTGAGGGGCCAGAGAACTGCCAGGCATCCCCACACCCCACACACATGCTGCAGACACACACATCCTCGCCAGAGCCTCTTCCTCCACTCCTTCATGGCTCCTGGAATTCCCCCCAGCCCTTCCATCCAACCCTGAGATCCTGAGGAGTGAGTGGGATCAGGAGGGCCTGGGGGTGGGGTGGGGAGATGCTCACCCAACAGGAGCAGCAGCAGAGCGAGTCCTAGACTGCAGATCATGTTGGTGGCAAACACAGTCGTAGCTTCACGTTCTTTTCTCTGGAGGACCGGGGACAGCTAGAGACAGAGCTGCTGGGTGTTAGAGCGCCGTTGAAACCTACCTGAGTGTCTGCCTGACAGTGCCCTCCAGGTGGGAGGAGCCTTTGCGGGGGGAGTAACACCCACAACCACCCTCCTCTGTGCAGGGCAGCTGACACTTGCACCTTCAAGATTGATCTGGGATCACTGGATCCAATGCAAAAATGAGACAAAGCAGTAAGACACCCCTACACACACACACACACACACACACACACACACACACTCATCTCTCCCATACTAAATTATTAACTATTAGAACAAAACAGTTATTTTTTTCTAAAAATAACTTTATTTTTAACTTTTAGGTCTTGTACCAACTTTCTAAAAACCCCTCAAAATCACTGCCCAATGGCAGTACGTCTCCTGATCTCCTCACTGCTAGTACCAAGGATGTTGATTGTTGAGCCAAACCAGATGAAATCATTAACAGCTTAATCCTTTCTTCATCTGTCTTAAGGTTAAAGTTGTCAATTATTTCATCTTCCTTGGATCCATGACCAACACTGTTGGTGCTGTGTGGTGGTGGTGGTATATGTCGTCACTGAGTCACTTGTCACTCAGAACAACACTATGTATATAGTGTCTTCCCCAGTTTCAGCAACCAAGGGTTTCCACGTGCATAACACAGACTGTTGATGTGCCTTCCTCCAATCCTGACGCCACATTTCTCCTCGTAAAGTCCAGCCTATCGGATTACCTGTCCCACATATAGATTGAAAAAGTATGGAGATAGGATGCATCCCTGGCATACTCCTTTCCTGACTTTGAACCATGTGGGGTTTCCTTGCTCTGTTCTGATGACTGCTTCCTAATCCAGTATAAGTTTTGCATGAGCACAATTAAGAGTTCTGCGATTTCCATTCTTCTCAAGATTGGCCACAATTTGTTGTGATCCACGACTCGACAGCACACCACAACACAACACAATATAACCTGGGAGATGGTGCCTCAGCTCCGCATTAGTGATTGAACTTCACAAAAACTCTCCCCTCTGCAGGCCTGTAACAGTAGCACCCAGCTTAGCCTCCCCCCCCGCCCGCCCCGTGCATGGCCAGGTGCTGGCTGCCATCTGAGGTTCCAACCACCAGCCACCACCTCTGGAGCCCCACAGGGTTGAATCTGCACAGAAGACTCACAGAGGTCCAAGGGCAACACATCTTTTTTTTTTCTTTTTTTTTTTCCTGACTTCAACTCACATATCAGAGCTGGCTAGCTTCCTCTGTCCCCCTCCAGGAAATAGGGAGCTGATTAATACCCAAAGTGATGGGGGCTACAGCACACTCCACACCCAAATCAAATGAAAGACCAGGAATAGGGGTAGGAACTAAGCAAATACCAAGACAGGACAAGAGGAGGCAGGAGGAAAGATCCCAGATGTTTACATCTTTTGTTCCTTTGAAGGGCAGCTGGGGTGTGAGTTCAGCGCATGAGTCAGGCACATGTTGGGTCTCAGGACTGAGGTCTCTGGGTGTCAGGCATGATCCAGCCTCCTCTGGTGAGGTAGGCTGGTGACTTTGGGACCTCCCCTACTTGGACTGATTTGATAGACCTGGGTTGGAGGGGGGTTCCCAGCAGGCTCCCCATCATTAAGGGGCAGGGACACCATAAGGCTGCATCCCTCCAGTGCTCTGGGTCTTGTGGGTGGGCGGGCAGGGTTCTGCTGGGTGAGGAACGTTCTGCTGGGAGAGGAACATTGCAGCTGCCTGAAGTTGCAGGAGATCAGCTGACTCCATGGCTGGGCTCCTGGGCGTCCAAGTTCCTGGAGTGTGTGTCAGAGACCTCCTGTCCCCTCATCTCAGGGTTCACTTCTCACGAGGGATGGAAGCCTGGCTCCTGGACTCGTCCTGCCAACGAGGGGTGGCTGGAGGAAGCTGGAGCCCCATGTCATGTGGGGCTCAGTGATGACATTAGAGGATCCACAACTTCTCCCCTACTCCACGGCCTTCCAGCACGCCACCCTGTGATGAATGAGAACAGCTTCTCCAAGAGCGCATGTCCCAGCCCATAATAGCCCAACCCAAGAGCACAGAGGAGGGAAACATGAAGATAAAGGACACAAGAGGGAAAGGGCCCTGCACTGAGGTCCCCCGTACCTTGGGATACAGGCAGGTCTATGGGGTACAGGCTGCTCAGGGTGGCTGCTGGACTGAGGCAGAATCCTCATGGTCTGGGAGCAGTGAGGGGGGTCATGCGCACTATGAACACAGTCCATCCCCCACACCCCGCCCGTGTTGGGTGAGGCACAAGGACTCCCAGGTGGGAGGAGGGAGTCCCTCTGGGGGGAGTCAGAAGCGAGAACCCCTCCTTTCCCTCCCCCTCCCTGTTTCCCTACTAGTTCCCAACTCACCAAGGGCCGAAGGCACTCCAGTGGCCATGGGGCCCAGCTCTACAGGGCGAATGTCACGGTGTGTGTCAGCTTTGGACCTGGCAGGATAAGAGGCCAGAGAGTAGGAGCGGTGACTCAGCAGAGCTGCCAGGGCTGCATCCCTGAGCCAGCAGCATGGCAGCGTCCAACTAGAGCTCCGTGATTGCCCAGTCTCCACCCTCTGCTCTCCTCTCCAGGTCCCTTCCTGCAAGCCTCCTCCTGAGAGAACTCCTGGGTTCCCTCACCCTTCCCATCTGACATGTTCTCCAAGCCCTGGTGCTACCCCAGCATCCCGACACACTCCAGACTTTGGCATTGCTCAGCTCCCCAAGGAAGATGCCCTCCCCCAGTGGCAGCCATGCCCTGCTGCCCTAATGATGCCAAGGCATCTCCCCTTGCTGGTGGTCACCCTCTCAGGGGCTTGCCATATCCTTCTATGTTCTTTGTAAGTCTCCACCTCCCTCAGGACTCTGCCCCGAGGACCCCCCCATGAGGAGGTACAGGTTCCTTCCCCCACCGTGGGAGCCCCTCGTGCCACCAGGCCAAGCTCTGCCCAGATTCCCAATCACTGCTCATTGCTCCTTGGTGGCAAGGATGATGAAGCTGCTTCTCACACACTTTGGGCATGTTTTTAGGAGAGGCTGTTCCTTGGAGAAGGGACATCATGCTTGGAAAGGTGGAGAGTCAGCAAAGGAGAGGAAGACCCTCAATGAAATGGACTGACACGGTGACTGCAGCTGTGGGATCAAATGCCAGAGATAACGAGGATGGCACAGGAGAGGACAGTTCAGACCTGGTGTTCATAGGATTGCTATGAGTCACACTCAACCCAATGGCACCTAACAACCCCTGAGACCCAGGTGGTGGCCAGCTGTCTGTGAGACGCTTTCTGTTTCATCTCTCACTGATGGTGCTCCCCAGGTCCAGCTCAGACCCTGTCCTCTGTCACAACTAGCTCAGGGCACCCTCAAGGCCAGGCTGTGGCAGACACTGCCTTACCCCAGGTACTGGTAAAGGGGTGGACCAAGGCTGATGAGCTTGGTATTATGGAATCTTCAGTCCAGTAAGGAAAGCCTGGATGAGGGGAAGGTGTGGATGTCATGGTTGACCCATGGCACTGAACGTAAAGGTGTACCAGGCCTAGCAGCTAGGACTGTGAAGGTGATCCTCTGTTATAACCCAAGAGAATTCGGCAGAGGAAAGGGCAGAGGGAAGAGGCCTGAAGAGCATGGGGGAGAATCCAATAAAGGGTGGGGTGGCCACCTGCTGGTGGAAACAGGAGGGTGGACATGGAGGCTGGACCAGAGCAATGGACCGGGGAACTCTGCCCTGAGGTGGTGGTGGCTGGGGGACCCCATGTCTTGTGCTTGACTGAGAGGCCACTGGGCCTCTCGCTCAGGGCTCCTCTCTACTGCATCCAGCGGGCTTTCTGGTCCTGAGGAACAGGAATCCCACTGTTCGGCTCCAGGTGCCTCAGAATCCTCAGCACCTCGGGTCTCAGGTCCTACCTACTGCAAGTAGGGCCCGTCCTTGAGGCGCAGACGTGCTGGCGGAGACAGGACCCTGGGTACCTGAAGCAACACCAGGCCAGGCCGAACCCAGGGAGCAGAGGCAGCAGGAAGCTGAGGCCCAAGGCCAGCACGAAGGCATCACGGCCTGCGGAGGACAGCGTGAGGCTGAGTCTTAGGCAGGTGCGCCCGCCCCAGGCCCTGCCCACCTGCCCATTCCCGCACCTTCGGGCTGCAGAGGGCCACTGTCCACGCTGCCCCCCAGCCCCGGCTCACTGCAGGAGGGCGGCGCCCAGCCCGGTGCGCAGTGACAGTTGTAGTTGCTGTTGCAGACCTGCCGAGGGAGGCGGAGGGAAGCAGGCTCGGGTGGGATCAGGGACGCCAGGTTCCCCACCCCGCAGGTCACTTACCCCGTGAGCATGGCACGACGCCTGACAGCGCTCCAGCTTCTGGAAGGTGGAGTTCTGACAGCGCCTGTCTTGGCACACCTACGGGCAGCGTGCACAGTGGGCAGTGACGAAGGGGCTCATGCCAATGGGACCCAGGTGGCGGGGAGGGGTGGAGGGGGCTCACCATTCCAGGTCCACACCAAGTGCCCATCTCTACCAGGCCCAAATTGGGCAGGTCCAGCGGGGTCCCAGGAGGCTCCAAAGCCTCCCTGCAGGTCACCTCGAGACTGTCTAAGCTGATGGCGGCGTCCATGGGGATGGCATGTGGCATCCGCGAGCTCTGCTCTCTGGCCCAACACTGCAGCTTTCCACATTGCGCATCCCTGGGGGTGAAGCGGAGGGTGGTGGAAGGGCACGTGCACCCTCCACCCCATGCCCGCGCCTGCTCCCTCTGCTCCACGGGCGCGAGTACCCACCTGGGGGCGCAGGGCACGAAGTGGCCTTGGCTGTCCTGCCCACAATTTCCGTGGGCGTCTCCCGCGGAATTCACAATTTGGAAACAGGCCTCTGGGGCTGGGTGAGAGCCTGGCAAAGTGTAGGTGCTCAGGGATGAGTAAGGACGTGCTCCGAGGGCCTCAGATTCCCAAGTCCGCTCCCCACCCTACCTCCACCCTGCAGAAACCAGAGAGGGCTCCAGTATGGATGGGAACCGAGGTGCAAGGGCGTGCGCCGCAGACTCACTGGGGCCCCAGAGCCTCTGGCACTGCTGTTCAAGCGTGGGACACCCGCCGTCCCAGCAGTAACCAAGACCCCCGGCGCAGGGCGAGCCATCCAGTAGGTAAACATCCGGGGGACAGTGTGGGGAGAAGCCGGTGCAGAACTCCGGCAGGTCACAGTCTCCCGTGGCCGGGCGGCACGGTGCGCCAGCCGGCTTCAGCTGCTCAGCGGACAGGGGTTGCGGAAGAGAGAACAAAGATACAACGTACAGTGAGAAATTCACTCCCAAAGCGCCGCTCCGAGGCGGGGGAGGAGCCAGAGGGCCAAAGGAATTCAGCAAGAACTGAGGCACCACCCCGCTACAGGACGAGGGTGCCGATCAGCAAAGCTCAGAGTGTGGGAGAGAAGAGGCAGCAGGAACCCTAATTCCCGAGCCCTAGTCCTCACCAGGCAGTGCGTGCAGCAGGCCCCGTGGGCGCACTGGGCCCCAGCGCGCAGCGAGCAGTTGCGGGCGATGCAGCAGGAATCCGGGCAGTCCTGAGGACGAACAGGCCCGGTAGCACCAGGTCAGGGCGCAGACCCCCAGACCTCCGGCCAGAGTGGGCGGTACAACCTTGGGCCCTCGGGCCAGCCCGGAATCTGACCTGGAGGGCGCCACAGTCGCACTCTTCTCCTGCCTCCACCAACCCGTTTCCGCAGCGAGAAGGCTTGCGCGGCACCCGGAGCTGGGGGTCGGGGGCGTTGGAGAGACACGAGCCGCCCCCCTTGCGGAAGAAGGCGCGAAGCTGGCGGCGGCTACATGCGCTGAACACGCGCGGAAAGGGGCGCCTGCGGGCGGGAACCAGTCAACCTCCGTCTGTTCCTGCCTTCACCCCTGGAATTACCCACCCAGGCTTCTAGAGAGGTCGCCAGCTGAGCTGGGATTCTCTAATAAGATGTCAGACAGGGAAGTGACCGCAAGTTACACAGATGACCGGATGGGAAAGGTTTTGACCGTAGATTAACCCAGAATTGAATGCTCTGCTACTCCCCTAATCTCAATACCCGGTTTAAACGTCAAAATCACCCTCCCACAAGCAAGATGGATACTTTGAAGTTGATTTCCCGCTCGCGGAGGGACCTCACGGTTACAGAGCGACCCTCTGGGGCTTTCCTGACCAGGAATCCATACTCTTTATGGAAGCATGTCACTAGACCTCTCTTCCACTGGGTGGCTGGGTGAGTTTTAAGGTCAAGTTGTACCATCCAGCTGGAATTGACTCCTAGCTGACCCCTAGCAGGTTCTCAGAGGCCCCAAATCGCTGGGGAGGAGACTGCCCAGCTTTCTCCTGTGGAGCAACTGGTGGACTCGAACCGTGTGCCTTTAGGTTGGCAATATAGCTCCTTACCACAAAGCCACCAGAGCTCCCTTTACAATTAAGTAACCCATCAAAAAATCATTTGTGCTGCCAGGAGCCCAAACGGGCTTCATGCAAAGGAACAATCCCCAGGCCTAGCCTCTCCCTCCACCCTCCAGCTTCTCCCTCTCTCCACCACCTCCCAGTCCCGCACCCCATGACCGCGGCCATGACGCAGCCGCCCTGCTCTGCAGGGGCCTCCACGCAGCAGCCTTCGGGGTCGTGGCTGAGACCGAGACTGTGGCCTATCTCGTGGGCCATGGTGGCTGCAGCGCCGATGGGGAGCTCTGCGTGGTCCTGGAGGGCGTGAGAGGGGCGGTCACAGTGCGCCCCCGCCCGAGCGCCCCCTTCCACGCCCCGCGCGCTCACCGTGCTCACGCCTCCCGAGCTCTCCTTGCTACACATGCCCGCGACTGGCGCCAGGCCCACGGTGGCGCCCTGGAAGGTGCGGGCCCTGAGAGCGGAGCAATGTGTGACCAGACCCGTGTAGGGAATGCGCCCGCCCAGCGCAGCACCCCCGGACTCGCATCAGGGACACGGGGACACCCACGTAAGCAGCTGCGTGGAGTCGTGAGGCCGCTGCGCCCACAGGCCCCGGCGCCACCGCAGGAAGGCCCAGAGCGTGGCGTTGGCGTCCTGCGTGACGAGGCTCAGGTCCCTCTTCGTCCACACTTCCAGTCCCGTAAGTGCCACTTGAATGTCCAGAGTCCTGAGGAACTGAGGGCATGGCGGGCCTGAAGCCAGGGACCTGCTGCCCACCGGGAAGTCTGTCTCCGCGGTCTCCTCCCGGCACCCTCACCACCCCAGGTAAGGCCGGACTCCCCTGGCGCAGCCACCCCCACTGCTGGATCTTCAGCTGCTCCCAACCTGATCAACGTAGTGGGCGACCTCGAGGAGACGCTGCTTGGTGTGGTTCAACTTCCCGTGCTCCGCCAAGAACTGGCCGGGCAATGACACGGGGGTGTGAGGGGCTGAGCTGGCCTGATCTCCCCATGGGCAGCGCACCCACCAGGGCCTCCCCTCACCAGGGCGTGGTCAGCCACCAGGTACAACTCCAGATACCTCGGACTCCCGCGGGCCTCTCGCCTGCCCTGGGGAGAGGCAGGGTGATCCCGAGTTAACGCCTAGAAGTTAACTTTGAGAATTTTCTGGATATGTTCTCCCGCCTCAATAAAAACATCGAGAATGGCTCTGTGCATTTCTGCGTCCCCTGCCAGGGCTCTGGATATTGAAGCCCAGGTCTGCGCCTCACCCTGCTCGGGGAGACGCGAGCAAGGCCAGCAGGGTCGCTCTTGTCACTGGTATCCCGATGCGCACAGGCCCCTTCCCAGCGGAGCGGTTGCTGTGCAGGGGCGATCTTGTGGATCCAGGGGGATGTGGAGACCTCAGATGGCCAGGAACGAAGATAATAGCTGGTATTGGTGCCAAGGACGATCAGGCCACTGAGGCAGAGGGGTGCAGATGGGGTATGAGGGGGTGCTTTCTCCAGCCCCAGGCCCCGCCCCTCCAGCCTGGCATCTCACCTCATGCCGAAGCAGGTGCTGAGGACCACCCAGGAGTCAGGGTAGCCCCTCACATGGCCGTGGTAGTGGCAGTGAGCCTGGGAAGGAAGGTGCCCAGTCCCAAACCTCAGCCAAAGGTAAGGTGGAAGGGACTAGGCAGAGGGCCTGGCGAGGGACTGACTCTAACCGGGCCTTCGGAGCCGAAGGAAAAGGATAGAGTAGCAACGACAAGGAGGGGTGTCCTCAAAGACTTCCATCCCCCAGAGCCTCCACCCCATCCTCAGAGCCGGTAAAGTCATGGAAGTGTCTCACCGTGTGTCTGGGAACCAGGACAACTGGCTGTCCGTCCTGGCTGTAGTGAGTTTCTGTGTATCCACCGGCCAGCAGCCTGTGGGAAAGAGGTGTCATCAGAACCACCCAGCCCAGCCCCACTTCCTGCAGACTTACTCCTTAAACATTAATGGAACATGCTTATAGATGAGGCTTATCACCCCATGCGGGTCTGAGAATTGTGCTCCCCGGGGTTTTCAGTAGCTGTTTTTATGGAAGCAGATCACCAAGCCTTTCTTCCAAGACATCTCTGCATAGACTTGAACTTCCAGTCTTTCCATTAGCAGTCATGTGCGCTAATCCTTTGCATGATCCTGAAGCTCTTGTTACTAGGTGCCATCAAGACATTTCTGACTCTTAATAGCGCAGTACCACAGAACAAAACACTTCCTAGTGCTCCACCCTACTCACAATCATGTCTCTTTTTGGGCTCATTGCTGCAGCCATTGTTTCAACCCATCTTGCTGAGGGTCTTCTTTCCCCCTGATCCTCTTTACTTTTACCAAGTATGATGTCCTTCTCCATGGATTGGTCCCTCCTCGTGACACACCCAAAGAGCATAGATGAAGTTCATCCTCCATTCCAAAGAGAATTCTGGCTCTACTTCTTCCAATATATGTGATTGAAAAGGTAGCTTGTTCTTCTCATAGCCCACACTGTACGAAATACTCTTCCCCAGCACTGCTTTGTTATCTAGTGCTACAGACATATCACAAGTGGCTGGCTTTAAGAAATGGAAATTTGCTCTCTTATGTTGTTGTTGTTGTTGTTGTTGTAATTATTAGGTGCTGTTGAGTACAACTCATAGCGACCTTATTCTAGCCTATGCCATCTTCACATTTCCTGACACACTAAAACCCATTGTGGCAATCACCATGTCAATCCACCTGATTGAGTCTTCCTCTCCTTCACTGACCCTCCACCCTACCATGCATAATGTCCTTCTCCAAGGAACAGCCCCTCCTAGTAACATGCCCAAAATACGTGAGGCAAAGCCTCATCATTCTTGCCTTCAAGTGCTTCAAGTCCTCCTCACTTTCAGCAAGCAAGGTTGTGCCATCTGCATAATGCAGGTTGTTGATGAGTCTCCCTCTGATCCTGAAGCCACACGTTCTCTTCTAGGTTATTGGGAATGAGTGAAGCAGTATGGGGTCAGCCACATCTGACCACCACTAACCCCACCAGAGGGAGCTGTCCTGACAGCATGAATTGCAACATGCAATTCACAATACTGAACCAGTTGCCAGACAGACAGACATGTCTCTCATACTCCTGCATCTACTTTGACTATTTTTTTAATGTAAAGACTGAATCCCTCCTGAAGGCTGAACTCTTTAATCTTCATCAGTAAGTGCCTCATGTACTCTTTGCTTTCATTAGGTAAAGTGGGTTATACTGCAGGTTGTTAATGAGTCTCCTCCAATCCTGAAGCCACATTCCACTTCATGTAGCCCCTCACTGGTCTGTCTGTTGAACTGGGGTGGATTTCGTGTTGCTGTGATGCTAGAAGTTATGCCAACAATATTCAAAATACTGTAGTTTTTATGTGCCATTGAATTGCCTACTCTGAACTCTGCCCTATCCTGAGCCAGTCTCACTGACTCATCTGATGCATCTAATTCTATTTGCCCAGTTAATGAGTCAACTAATCTCATCCAGGATCTTCCTCTCCTGTGCTGTCCCTCCACCCTACTTAACATACCAATAGGTTTTTTAAATGGTGGACAGGTTTCAGAAGAAATTCTAGACCAAGATAGACTAGAAAAGAGAGCCTGAGGTTTACTTACAGAAAAGAAAATGACCAGTGGAAAGTGTTATGAGTAGCAGTACATAATAAATGACAACATACTGTGGATGTTTCAGACACTCTCCCCCCCCCTCCACTGCCCCTCACAGGCTCCATTTTAGACATCCATTGTCCAGCCTCTGTGTCTGCTCATTCACCAGCACAAAATCTGTGGCTTGAACTGTTCTGGACACTCAACTGTAAACTGGCAGTTGTGACCATCTATGATTTGGTCCTCCAGGGCACCTTGTCCCCTGTCCCCAGCTCCCTCTCTCCTTGAAGCTGGAGACCTTCCAGGCCAGCCAGACAAGCTGCCGCTCCTCGGTTCCTTGATTGGTGCAGCCACTGCGTCTTTTTCCCTGTCAGGGTCTCAACCAGGAGTCCCCCAGGTTCAGCTTCACCTGGATTCTCTTTTGACTCTCACAGCCTGTGGGCGTCTAATAAATAGGTGGCTTACTCATCTCTGCCTCTAGGCGGCGCTCGCTCACACCCGAATCTAGACGGGGCTCGTCCACCACTAGTTGGAGGTTACTCATCTGTGCCACTAGACGGCGCTCGTCATCTTTGCCACTAGGCTCATGTCCTGCAGGGAGCTGGGTGCTAACAACTCTTGGAGTTGGATGAGGGACCTGCCCTAGCCTGGGGCTAACCCAGCCTCCAGGGAGCCGGCTGTGGGCCTGCTGTTCCTCTCTGCCCCCCATCCCTCCACCAGGGCCCCTCCCTCCATCCAGCATCCCTTAGGGACTCATGTCCTGCCCCTCCCACCCCCACTGTCCCTTCCAGAGCATATTCTTGGCTCCAAGGCCCTACCCCGCCTGGTGCTTACTGGTTCTTCTCCAGCTCAAGCAGGAGCTTCTGGCCTTCGGCCTCCAGGGTCACAAGCCTGGTGTCCAGATCTGAGACCTGACGGGAAGGAGTGTAGTGTTGGGGACAGACATCCAGGCTTGTCAGGAAACAAATGGGATGTGAAACTGGCCAGATACCCCAAACGAGGGTGTTTGTGTCCTGACCACAACCACCTATGGACAAGTACATACTCAGATTGGGCCCACCACGTCCTTCACTTGGAGAGATGGCTCCATGCCCTCATGCCAGGGGGATTCCTGCAGGCGGGGGGACCATGAGGTCCTGAGGCGCGGTGGCTGTGGTGTCTGAGGACTTGTTTCTGTACTGAGACCCCTCACTTCCTGGAGGATGCAGACTACTCCGCCTCTACTTTTAGCTTTGGTGGCCTAGTGATAAGAAGCTACACTACCATTCCAAAGGCACGCAGTTCGAATCCACCAACTATTCTTCAGGAAAAGGTTGAGCAGTCTCCTCCTGTGCCATTTACTGCCTCTGAAAACCCACTAGCGTGTCAGCTATGGGTCAGGTTCTGACCCCCTGGCACAGAGTAACAACAACATGTGGCAGCCTCACCCTCCCAGCTTCACATCCTGTTTTTAGTCCCTGACAGGCCCACTGCTCACCTGCCGCCCTGAACTCATGCAATAAACAAGAACCCCCACTCCAGGCTCCAGGCCAATAGAAAAAACAATGTTTTTTTTTGCTGAAAAGCAGACCTCAGCCAGCTCCCCATCTCCTCCTACCCATGGCTGCCTAACACCTCTTCTCTGCCTCCTCCCTGAGAATCCTCATCTACCCCCCCCCCCCCCCGCTTATCCATGCAGCCTGGCTGGGGGCCCAGGAGCCTTCTGGGGGCCTGCTGCATCTTCACAATGTTTATTCCACCCTTTCTGGCCCTCCTGTTTATCCCAACATGCACTGGGCTCAGACACCCACCAGAGGCCTCAGAGTCTTGAGGGGAGGTCATCTCTGCAGGTGGGGAGCAGATGCCCCCCCCCAGCTACAGGCCCCACAAGGCCTCAGCCATGAGCTCACGTGTCTGGAATGCAACCAGCTCTATTGGGGAAACACTTGTGCTGAGGAAGTGGGGGACTCAGACGGAAGAGCAAGGGTAAGGTCTCTGAGCCTCCTCCTGAGACGCTTGGGCGCCCTTCTCTCTGTTCCTCTATATCTTCAGTCGTCTTCACTGCTCGTCCGCTAGAGCCTCCAGCCTCATCCTGAAATATGGGTGCTTCCTTGGCGAGGACTCTGTCCTCAGCTCTGCTTTCCCTTCGTTGCCAGGCTCTCAGGAATGGAGTGGTGAGTAAGGGTAGTAGGACCCTCAGGATACACTCTCGGTCCCAGCCCAGGCCCAGACAGGGAGGGATGCCCACAGTCGGGGTGACTACAGCCTGTGCTCAGTGATGTCCCAAGAACAACCTTAAAACTTCAGGATGGAGCAGAGCCTGACTACTTGAATGGAAACTCCAAGGGCCTGGGGGACCTTTAAGGATCCAGAGGACCCCATTTAGGGGCCTCTGGGGGCCTCTTAGCCTGCATGAACTCTCTCTTGCCTTGCCTGCCTTTTCACTAGGTTTGGGTGGTGAGACTGTGCCCCCAACCAGGAAATACAGGACGGTGAGCTCTCTGGGTGGGTAGGCTTGTCCACTGTTTGAAGTCAGCTACACCTTAGCTTAGGGGTCTTCTCTTCCAGGCCAAGAGCTGCATGACTTTGAGCAATTTCTCCCTCCTTTCTGGCCTTCAGTTTACTCCTCTGTGAAGTGGGTAAATTCAGGGTTTCCCTACCACTGCTTTGCACCACAGGGAATGCAGATGGGACCTGCCTCTTCTGTGATTGGTGGAGGAGCCCAGCATCCTGGAAAAGCAAGAGGGGATGGAATTTTGCACCTAGGGGGCACCAGGAGGGTGGCTTTTCTCCCTTGGCCAGAACTGGAGTCTGTGAGGGCCAGTGAGGCTGAAGCCCCCTCGGGGACCAGACCAAGCACAGGGAGGAGCAAACAGTGAGTCCACAGAGTCACATGTCCTGTTAATCTTGGCAGAGAGAAACTCTTCTGGCACTTTCTAGAAGCTCTAGAAGAGTTTCAGGCCCCACAACTCTGGACCCACCTCTGTGTCTTATGGGCAGAGGCAGCCAGGGAATTCTGGGAGTGCGAGGGAGGGGGCAGTGGGGTGAGGAAGGCTGAAAATGACTTCCATGTGTGCAGGCTTGCCAGCTCCATATCTCCCCTCTGTCTCCCTGCCCGCCGGAGAGGCTGGAGGGAGCAGTGACTGGGTGGCTCTGGGACCCCAGCAAACTGGCCCAGAGACCTGGGGCCCTGGTGGAGGACAGGATGATAGGCCACTGACCGACTCTTCCAGGATGGCCTTGCGCCAGGATTGTCCATCCAGAGCCCAATAAGGGGTGGCTGTCTCTCCGGGGGCATCTCCTGGGATGAGAACAGAGCATAGGGTGAGGGGGCCAGAGGAACCCAGAGTGGAGATGGGGTGGAGGGCAGCAGAGAGATGTCAGCATGTGATTAACTTGTGGAAGGATGGGCCTCTGAAGGATGTCCCTGGAACTGAGGGGCCATCGAGGAACGTGTTAAGGAGCAACTCAACTGGGACAGAGGAGCGCCATTGACCTCTGAAGGCAAAGGAAGGGCATGGGGTCAGAGGTCACAGAGAAGAGACCCCATCCCATCCCTTACGAGGAGGACAGGGTGGAGGCAGCATGGGTATTTTTAGACCAGGTAGCAAGCAGATAGATGCCTTTAGGATGAGAGATCCTAAAAGTGGATGCCAGTGTCCCCCCCACTGCCCCCCTTCACATCCTGGGAGGATAGAAGCAGGCAGACGCTGTATTAGGAGGTGCACCTTGCCTTTCAGTATGGGGACAAACTAGACCCTGGCCCAGAAGCCCTCCTCTTGCTTTCAGGGGGCCTAGGAGACAGAGGCACGGTGCTCGTGGGCTGAGTGAGCCTAAGGGGGGGGGGCGGCTCCAGGAGGAATCCCTGAGCCAAACATTGCTCATGAGAAGACGCTGGAATGCTCCCCTGGAATGCTCCCACCCCCACTGGCCCCAGCAACTCAGCAGGCGAGGAACCTGGCCCACAGCCCAGCCTTCCCACCTCTCTGACCTCTAGTCCTGGGGTGGCCTCAGCTCCTGAGCAGGTCACCATTTCATTCAGAGGTTGACCCTGACCCCTACCCAAGTCAGGCTGGGAAGCTGACTTGGCCTCTGCTTAGACACTCCACTTCCTCTCCTGTGCCCTCAGCATCTAAGACCTGGAATAGCCCCTCTGAAAGCCATCTCCCCCAGAAAGCCCTCCCTCACTGGACAAGCGAGTTGTCAGGAAGCCAGGGAGCTTTGGAACCCCTCTGCCCCAGACTCAGGGGAGGCTGAAGGGGCCAGTTTCTGGAGGGGTCTGAGTAAGTCCAGGGGAGAGGTGATTTTTCAGCCGAGAGTGGATGTCCCTGGGTGTGAAGAGCCAGGTCGTGAGGGAGGACGTGCTTGTGCCCGCTCAACGCACACACACTGGCTGGAGAACCTTGGTGGAGGCGAGGCCTGGGGAGACCTGAGAATGGGGCTGACTCTGGGTCGAGGTGAACCCTGGGGGCTTCAGGCTGTGTTGGGGAGCAGTGAGCAGGGGTCCTAAATGAGGAGAGAGCAACAGGAGGCACAGGAACCTTTCTACAGTCATAAGGACTAGGGTCCAGAGGTGCGCAGTTTGAATCCACCAGATGCTCTGCTGGAGAAGGAGGGAAAATATCCTCCTGTACCAGTCATATCTGATTTGATGGTACACACAAAAAATAATGAAATTAAAAATAAGGACTAGGGTCCCTCTCCCTTGGGGTCTGGAGCAGGGCAGAAAAATGCAGGGGTCCCAGATGGGAGCCTATCCTGGGCAGAACCCACCCTTCCTCCCCTGCGAGGCTCAGCCCACCCAGCCCACCTGGCCCCTCAGCCAAGCACTGGATGTACAAGACTCAGCTTCCTCCCACCCTGGTTCCCGGCTGCCCTGAGGAGATGCTTCTATCTGACCAAACAAGGCAACAGTATAAACACCCAAGGCCCAGGATGAGGGGGTGAGCTGGGAGGTGAGGGGGTGAGCGTGGGGTGAGGGAGTGAGCATGGGATAAGGGGGTGAGTGTGGGATGAGGAGGTGAGTGTGAGATGACGGAGTGAGCGTGGGATGAGGGGGCAAGTGTGGGATGAAGGGGTCAGTGCAGGTAAAGGGGTGAGCCTGGGAGTGAGGGGGTCGGCATAGCATGAGGGAGTGAATGTCAGCTGGCCCGTACAGTCTGAGAACAGAATAAGGGTTTTGGAAGTGAATTGGGATTGGGGGGGCTTCTGGAAGGAGGGAAGCCCAATTAAACACTAAGGAACAGAAGTACAGCCTTAAAGGGGGCCTGGGACTGAGAGATGAGGGGAGTATCCAGCAGAGGGAGGGTTTGGGTGGGGTGGGAGCTGACAGCAGCTGAGCGGGAAGGGGCCCTGGCACTTGGCTTTGTCCCAGGAGAGGTGACAGGCAGAATGTGACAGAGGGAGCAAGTCCCTTGAGCAAGTCTAAGGGAGGTGCACCCAGCGCCCCCCCCACCCCGTGCTGTCCAGGGGCTTTCAGACTCTCTCATCCCCTGACCCTCCCCAGTTTCTGGGAGGACCTCCCTCTCGCTGGCCCCTCGGTCCGCACCCCACTCTTGTCCTCACCTGAGAGGGCACCGCGTCCAGGGCTGGGCCACAGCAGCAGCAGCGCCACCACCACCGGCGACCCCCGATTGTCCCGGGACCCCCGGCCCATGGCGGTGAGCGCTCGGCCTCTGAGCTTCAGCTCAGGCTCACAGCCCCGCCCCGGGCTGGACAGCGGCCACCCCACGCCTCGGGGAGCCCGCCTGCCGGACCCGCGCCCCTCCGGAGTCCACACCACGCCCTGCACTGTGGCCGATCACCACCCCAAGCTGTGGGGCACCCCCACGCGACCCCGTGAGTACCCCTGGAAGCCAGCTTGATCCTCTGGACCACTGAGGGAGGGGGAGAGCGGACCTCAGGGTGTCAGAGGAGTCAGCTTCCACTGTGGGGCCTCCTGACTCCAATCCTGCTCGGAAACCCTGGGGCGGGGGCTCCCGGCTGAGGTCCAGATGAGTCCTGGACGTCCCCAAAGAAGGGAGGCTGGGCGACCACGACAGGGCAGGTGCCCCTAGCATCGCCAGCCCTGGCCCAAGGCGCACTGACTGGGAGAACCGAGGCCACTTGGGTGGGGAGCTTGGGGGGTGGAGACAGAGCCCTGCATGGGACTGGGACCCCTGCATGTGAGCAAAAGTTGCTTAAAGCCTTGACTCAGGCGTGGGGGAGCCGCTGGGCTTCGGTAACATCTGCTTCGTTTTACAGATTTTGTTTTGCTCTGATTTACTAGATAATAGATTTGGCTTCGAGAAGTGACTATGAGAACACGGAGAAATGTTCTAAGCAAGTCTTCCTGAGAATCTGGAGTCAGGAATTCTATTAGGAAGAGTCTCAGCAGAGGGGAAACCTCCTTTCTCAGGATTCAAACGTCAACAAGAGGAACAGAAACACTATCCACCCCCCAGCCCACGTCCCACCCCCGACTTCTCCCCATGCTCTCAGACTTCAACAAGCTTCTTGGGAAGCTTTTAGATTATTTTTTTTTAATGCATACCAGACAATATGGCTATTTCTGATGGATATTAAATTTTTTACTATTACTATTCTATTATGATAAATATGTTTTAGTGTATTTAGACATGTTTATTGGTTTTTATGCAAAGACATTTGGTATACTACAAACGTTTAGGTCCATCCTGTGGAGAGTTTTCCTCTCTTTCTCTGACGTACCACCTTTCCCAGCATGAAGACTTTTCCCCAGGACTGGCCCTCCTGACAACAGGCCCAAAGGATGTGAGACCTAATTTCACTCTCTCTGCTCAAAGCAACACACTGGTTGCCCTTCCTCCAAGGCAGACTTGTCTGTTCTTTTCACAGTCTGTGGGATGGTCAAGGCTCTTCTCAGCACCGCAATTCAAATGCATCAATTTTTCTGTCATGTTTATTTACTGTCCCACTTTGAGATGCCTATGAAGTAATTGAAAAGACTGTGGCTTGTTGTAGTAGTTGTTGTTATGTGCCGTTGAGTCGCTTGTGACTCATAGCGACCCCTATGTACAACAGCCCTAAACCCTGCTCTATCCTGTGCCAGTCGCACTATCTCCGACACACCCATCCCAATTACCCCAGTCACTGAGTCAATCCACCCCATAGAGGGCCTTCCCCTCCTGCGCTGTCCCTCCACCCTCCCAAGCATGATGTCCCTCTCCAAGGACCTGTCTCTCCTTATAACATGTCCAAAGTATGTTAGACGGAGCCTCAGAATCCTTGCCTGCAGGGAGCCGCCCGATTTAACCCTCTCCGGGATGCATCTGTTTGTTTTCTTAGCAGTCCATGGTACCCTCAAAACTCTTCTCCAGCACTACAGCTCAAAGGCATTAATTCTCCTTCTATCCTACCTAGTCATTGTCCAACTCTCTGATGCATAACAAGTGATCAGAGACACCATTGTTCTTCAGTACTTTAGAGAGGTCCCTAACAGCAGACTTTCCCATCGCAATACTTCTTTTAATTTCCTGGTTGCTGATTAGTTAGATTGTTGTTTTTTGAGGACCATCAGGTCAGAACCGGCCCATGGCTGACCTTCTGGTAGGTTTTCAGAGGCAGTTAACCGCAATACCCATCCTTCTCCCACACAGATTAGCTTTTATAAATGTACACACCAGTAAACCACCACATTCAAGATACATTTCTACCCCCAGAAGTTCTCTTGTGCCCTTTCTGATCTCTCCCACTCTCAACTGCAGAGAATCTCTGTGTCTATGTACACTGTGTATATAGACAAGTTTCACCTGTCTAGAACGTCCTAGTAGAATCCTTCAGTTTGTACTCTTTTCTATCTGACTGTCCTTCCTCTTTATGAGATTCACTCACATCATTTTATGTCTCAGTAGTTTGGGCATTTGTATTGCTGAGAACTCTTCTGCATTAAGAACAACCCACAGTTTCTCAGTTAACCACTTAGGCATTTGGGTTCTTTTCCACTTGGGGACTCTTGTAACTGCAGCTGTGACAGAATCGCTATGCAAATCTTCCTGTGGATCTGCATAGTTGGAGAAAAGATTGAAGTTGTCAACACTTTGGATCCATAATCAACATTCATAGTAACAGGAGTGAAGAAATAAAAACGCGTGTTGGGAAAATCTATCAGAGACCTCTCAAGAGTACTAAAGAGCAACGATGTCGGTTTAAAGACTAAGGTGCACCCCATTGAAGTCATGATATTTTCAATTGCTTTATATTCATCTGAGAGTTGAAAAATTAATAAAGATAACAGAAAAGAAATAGATTGCCTTTGAATTGTGGTGTTGGAGAAGAGTACTGAACATTCCATGGACTACCAAAAGAGCAAACAAGACTAACCTTTATGAAAAATGATATATTCAAACTTTGTAAATAAATCAGCAATAAACAAACAAGTCTGTCTCGATGAAAGGGCAACCATAGTGCTCCTTAGAGGCAAGAATGGTGAAATTTGATCTCACATACTTTGGGCATGTTGTCAGGTGGAGTTAATCTTTGGGAAAAGATGTCACCCAGGGAAAGGTGGAGAGTCAGCAAAAGAGAGGAAATTCTCAACCAGACGGATCAGTATAGTGACTAACAAGGCTCAAGGATGTGGGAGATGGTGAGGATGGCACAGGATAGGGCAAGGTTCCGGTCTGTCGTCGCTCAGAGGGTTGCTATGAGTCATAGTCGACTAGACAGCACTAACAACATTAGGTGCACACACGTAACAGGCACCGTGTTAACCAGAAAGTGGACAGTTTGAATCTACCCAGGGGCACCTCAAGGAACGGTCCTGACAAACTACTTCCAAAAACTGAGCCATGGACAACTCCGTGGAGCACAGTTCTTCTCTGATGCACAAGGAGTCGCTATGAATCACGTTCAACACCACGACAACTGCTATGGGGAAAGTACATTTCATTTTTGAGGAAATACTCAAATTCTCTTCCAGGTGGCTGTGCCATTTTACATTCCCTGCGGCACTGCATCAGAGTGTCAGTTCCTCCCCATTCACCGGCATTTAATGCTCCTGTTCTTTTTCATTATAACCTTCCTGCAGGTGCATGTTGCTGTGTACTGTCGAGTGGGAACTGACCCCAAGAGGACCCTCTGCCAGGTTTTTCAGAGCAGTGAACTGCACAGAAAGAGATTGCCCATTCTTCTCCTGCAGAGCAGCTGGTGGCCTCGAACTGCTTGCCCTTGGTATTGCAGCACAGCGTCTTGCCATTAGACCACCAGCTCTCCCCAGTAGGTGTATAACATCCTCATTATTATTTTTATTATTTTGGTAAAAATATACATGACAAGACAGACGTACATTCAGCCAGTGTGTGTGTGTGTGTGTGTGTGTGTGTGTGTGTGTACCTTCAAAACAGATCTGACTGGTACAGGAGGAGATTGTCCCTCCTTCTCCAGCAGAGCATCTGGTGGATTCAAACTGTGTACCTCTGCGATTGCAGTGCAGCTTCTTGCCACTAGGCCACCAGAGCTCACCAACATTCAGCCATTTATTTATTTATTTGTTTGTTTGTTTGTTTGTTTGTTTTATTCTTTTTTTATGTGTACCGTCAAATCAGATCTGACTGGTACAGGAGGAGATTGTCTCCTCCTCCTCCAGCAGAGCATCTGGTGGATTTGAACCGCATACCTCTGGGATTGCAGTGTAGCGTCTTGCCACTAGGCCACCGGAGCTCCCTCATTCAGCCATTGTTACATGTCCATTTCTATGACAGCAGTCACTTCACATCACTGTCACTGTCTCCATCTATATCATTCTGCCAGTGTTAACTTACTTTCTGTCCTTTGAAGTTCCTAGCTTTCGAATTACTGTTCTTGTTTTGGTCACATACGGTACTTTAAAAGACTTTAATGGCACTAAAATATTGTTTAAAGATGACTTCATGAGACAGTTTTAGTTGAAAGTTTAACAATTGTTTCCAGCCAATAAATTCGAGAGTGCCCTTAATCTCAATGGATCCAGTTAGCGTGGCTTCTATAAACATTTCAAGTTCTAGATGTAAAAGAATACAGCTGTTGGACCCTTGAACAAAACGTTCAGTAGTGGTAGGCAGGTGCCATCCATTTCGTCTGGTTTCGTGGCAGTTCACGGAGACAATGAGACCTGAAATTCATTTCTTTCTCTGATTAATTTCTTCTTTTTTCTGAGTCACCTCTTTCTTCTGTTGCTCCAGGTAAATAGAGAATAATTTTTGTGTTTCTAATCTTATGCTATTACAAGTAATGCATCAGTCGATAATCTTATGTGCAAGTCTATCTGTAGAAGAAGCAATTGTGATTTGGATAGTTGGTCATGTCGCCCTCTAGCCTTTACCCATTTACAGTAGGACCAATAATATATGAGAGTTCCTGTTTTCCTACAGTCTTACCAACACGGTGTAGACCAAATCTGTGATATTTGCTAGTCTGGAAGGAGAAAGTGCATTTTAATATGCACTTCTCATATGGTTGAGCCTGAATATTTGTTTAAACATTTGCAATCTGCTTGTTGTTGTTGATTGCCGTCGAGTTGATCATGACTCATAGCGACCCTATGAACAAAAGGCCTGAAGCCTTTCTAGAACAATCATCATTTATCAAAGTTCATAGAGTTTCCAGAGGCATGTCTTTTAGGAAGTGGATGCCACTTCTGCTCCCAAACAATCAGCTTATATTTCTTTTTACTCCAAGTGGTCTGATAGTAGCCACAACTCTTTCTTCTGTTGTGATTATTCATCTTTTTCTTAACAATTTAAAGGAACTCTTTATATATAAAGGGGTCTGGTGGCCTAATGGGTAAGGAGTTGCACTGCCAACCCAAAGGCAGGCGGTTCAAGTCCACCAGCTGCTCTGAGGGAAAAGATGGTCCATTTTCTCCCATGCAGTTTGCAGT